TTTGTTTTGATCCAGAGTTGTTTGTTATGATTCAGGTGGAAATGGGTCCCCTCTTGAAGAATTATCAGGGAGGCGTCTGGCGGTAGTTGAAAACTTCGAGGCTGGCCAAAGGGCAAAGGCAAGTCGAAACTAGATACGTCTTAGTTAACAAGACCCAAGCAAGGGGCGAAGGGAGAGTAAAAGGACTTGGATAAAGAAGGGAGAGTTAGAGCTGGAGATATCTACTGAAAATGCGGATACCTTTTCAAATATAGACGAGTCAATGGGAGGGGGGTCGACTGTCTTGTATTCGATTCGCGATGTGTTGAAGGTCTATTTGTCGACCAGGCCAAGGCACGCTTGATAATTCAACCGATGCAAACTCTCTCTTAATTATTATTTTGGCTGGTACCTGAACGCCGGTAATGAGCCAACGTCAAAGGACGAGACGTTATTAAGTGATTGTCTCGACTTATGAAGGGGTCTGTGTGCCACCCCTGTTCAAGATGATAGACGCTACCAACAGTCGGACTTGGCGTTAGGCAAAACGCCTTTCTTTTCTGGGGGCCACCCTCTCTACAAGACCCTCCCCGCCTCAGAGGAGATAAGGTGGAGCGAAGAAGCAAAAGCATCAACCGGGATCATATCCGTACCTGCTGCAGGGTTATAAAGATAGCTTCTGCGGATGCTTTGCTGCGAGTGAGGGCGCCGCTTCGTCAGAGCACCCTGTCAGCACGTGCAGAACTCGCCAGCCGACTAGGATGATCATCGTCCTGCTTTACCATGCCTTTTTCTGCAGGCTGCTTCATCTGCCATCCCCGGTGGAGCAACAAAGCCCGCGTATCGTAAGTATGATGCATCCAACCAACCATGGTTTCTAATAGGGCTTGTATCCGCTTGGGAAACAACTCCTTAGGTGTATAGTCACCAATACAGTCCCCAACTGCCAGTTCGGTTCATATGAATAGCAAAAGAGGATGCTTCTGTCAAGAGAAGAGTAAAGAATAAAAAGAGTAGTACCTAGATACCTCTTCCGTGGTTCCAAGCATAGCCAGAGACCCGCATCGCGTAGAAGCAAGGGGCGGATAGTTGAGCGGAGTGACCTATCCCTAAAAAGAGGCACACACACACACAGACCAAATTCGAGTACAGAGTACTACTCCATACTTGAGGCAAGAGGTCCAAGGGGAGGCGTACTAGCCAGAATCTATCTTGAATAATCCAATCGCGAAACTTGTCGCTTCTGATAATCAAACTGTCTGTTATGGTTTTAAAGTTGAACACTCTCTGCACTGTGGGTAAGCTTGACCATGGTCAAGGCACCCTAGTCCATCTCGCTCGCTAGACTCGAGAGTGACCCATTTAACGCAGCCTCCGAGATCGCGTTAAACCGAATTTGCACTGTCCGGGGCAAGCCCTGTCATTCAGATCCCAGCCAGATCTCACTCGAGATGTGCGAAAGACATTGGCTAGGGGGTTGCCACTACGTTGGTGCTTCCGATCTGGGCCAATCCGCTGCCACTTTGACCGTAGCGGACAGCAAGCTATTCAAGGCTAACTCATTGAAAAAAAATGTTTGCCCAATAACTCAATACAGTGCTGGTTGGCTTAAGCCAGTAGCGTACGCCTCAACCGTTCTGCTGGGACCATAGGTGTGAATCAACTGTTTTCTGGTTAAGCTGGGGGGGGGGGGGGGGGGGGTGGTTTGCAAAACGTGACGCCAACAATTCCGTCGGAGACGAACTATTATGAAGGCCCCCCGTTTGACCAGGATTGAGTGTCGGCTACCAGCATATATTCTCTTGCACATGGAGCTCAATGATAGTCTTCTGACTCAGATGGCAACCGGATGTGTCCATTGACTACCACTAATCGCAGCAGGCTCAGCAACTTGGAGGAGACAAGAACGAGTATTTGACCATAGCGGGGAAGATAACTGATGAGGTTAGGGGTCAGCGGGAGATTTTGTAAGAAAAAGGGCCAATAAAAGAAAGCTTCCACTGCTATTCGTACGGAATGAATAAGGTGCTAGGCATTCTGCATCGTTGACCATCTAGGAACTTGCGTGCTGCGGGTGAGATAAAAGGGTAAAAGGGTGCAGAAGAGGCGTCCGAGTCTGATTACAAGCAGCGGTGTACATGGTTCCAGGTCGTTGAGTACATTTGCTAAAGAAAAAAAGAAGCAACAGTGAGAAAGCCAAAAAGTCTGCAAGGTAGCCTGTCATATTTGACGTGTATCTTGTGTGGGAGCTCTTGCTCCGCTTCGGTACAGTCGACTCATTACCAGCCGACTACGCAGGCAACGCAGGCCCAATCTGAGCTTCCAAGTCATTCCCTAGGAAATTGTGCGACGACTAGTTTCTGTGTGTGATGATGACGATACAGGATCATCTCGCGGGCTGGAGGCGCGAGGCCGCGACCGCAGCGTCGAGGAAGCAAACCCAAAAGAGAGGACCCATTGTCGACAGATCCGGTCAATGGTTTTTAGTTACTCTTTGAACCACTGTTGGTCGTTGCTGGTCATCATTGTTGATCTTGATCGTGGCGATAGAATGTGTGTTGGCGATCGCTATTCGGCTTAGTAGCCATGTACTGTTTTCTCACTTTTCCGAAAAGTCGACAGATGATCTATCTGTTGTATCAAATATCATATCTTCAGTATCCGAATCGGATACTTGCAGGTGGCGGCATATTCAGATCGATAGCATCGCATAAGGCCAGACTGAACTCAGTATAGGCGCGCAATAGCGTCTGAGGCGCCGTCATGCTACTGTGATTAACCCCCAGCAAGTCTGCAATATCATGCGGGCGTTCGTCATCGGTTCCTCATTAAGACGAGACGCTTAAGGAGAGGTGCTGTGTAACCAACAGATGACGGATTTGCTTTTTTGCTGCCGATGCCTTGGCCAACACGGCGAATGGGCGTTGCGCACTGGGTGACCAGCCACACCTCTCCAATCCCAATACGGCAAACGTTGCAGAAAGATTCTCGTTGCTTTGGGGCGGTGTCGAGATTTTGTTGCAGTCGCGAGCTGAGGAAAGTGAGAGATGACAGATGAAGAACAAGGATGATGAGAGTATGAGGTTTACGAAAAATATCGGTCAAGTCGCCAAGACACGAGGGGACTTGTTTCAGCTGAAACCTGAAGCATCCCCCTCGTGGGCAGTCGTGACTTCCATTCCATTCAGTAAAGTTATGTTGACTTGAGCCTCATTGCCTTATGGAAAGCACTTGCCTTGAGGTGTGCTGAGTCTGGAGATCAAGCACATGATCCAAGCGCCTAGCGTTTGTCGCGCTACCAACACAACGTCAATCTTGAATACCTACCTCTATACCTCTAGGCCGTTAGATTAACGAGGTCCCCTATCTCACTTAAGCGTCTCATAATCTGTAAGATCCGCAAGCTTGAGGCGATCGGACGCCACGAAATCTCTCATGAAAATATCCCGGATTATTTAATAATTAAACCGACCGACACAATCAATCGAATTATGTATCATCTTTCCTCTTTTCTCCTCAAGGCCCACCTCCACTCTCTCCACCTTTACACTTATTGCCAATTGGGTGGAGTAACTACTATGATCTAGTGTGGGTTTCTCTCATCAAATAGTCGGCCATGAACTGAGAGATTGTTTTTAAAAGCCAAGACCATCTCATTCTGATTATTCATTTGATTCATGTTCTGGGTCTATCTCCTGACTCCTAACTACCTGACTATCTAACACTATCATGTGGAGGATATCTCCATTTATTATTGGGTACATCTGCAACGCCGTCTCACGGATCTTATACCCGAGCTTCTCAGCAGCCTCCTTGCTTACTCTGTAGGAGATGGAGGACATCTCAAAGCATGCAAGGCATGACATTACTATGAACCTCCTAATAAAACATGCATCGCATATATCGTTGCTTCGTGTTTCCGAACTGGAACCCTTGCCAGCCTTCATCCAGTCTATCCTTGCTCTTCTCCACAAGTTCGCGTGCGGAGCGATACACGGATGACACGGGCCGTTGGATGTTTTCATTACAATTCGTCAACACCGGCTTCCATTTGTCAAAGGAATGTTGTTAGCTGTTTATAGTCAAAGCGCTAGTCGACGATATGAGCTGAGGATCAGTGTTCCTGGCTCCATTCTTGAAAGGAACAATCGTTCAGGTGATGATCCTTGTACTGCTGATACGTAGACTAACTAATCGCCAGCCGGTCCATTCTCCAGTGACGCAACCCATTGCCAAACATGTTCGTCTCCGAAGATGGTTGACCTAACGGCTCAGCAGAGCAAGGGTCGGATGGTTCGTTATGGGTACACTGTCACCTTTTATCATAGAGCTGGACCGCATCTTGATGGCTATGTCCAGAATTTTCTTGACCTCAATGTAAGGGGAGTTTATGATTGAGTCAATGCTGATTGACTCATTAATTGTTCAATTGCCGACTTGTGGTCACCGAGTCACGAAGCACTGAACAATCTTTTGTGTCGTTGCGTGCAATTCAAAGTATCCAGCCACAGAAATAACCCGTTATACTGTTACAAAATCCAGGCTTGGCTACTGCACACAGATGCAGGCACATTGAACTTAGTGCCAGGGGTTCAAACGTAGAAGAAGCCTTGTTGTTCATGTGCATCCTCGACGGGAATACAACCAACACAGTTCAAAATGAACACGTGCTGTTGCATCGGGTATGTTCTGGTCATTGCTTGTTTCCGAGGGTGCATTCGGTAGAAATTAACTCTTTGGGTTTAGCACAGGGACCCTGACTTTGTATGATACGAGCAGTCGAAACGTTTCAAATAATATCACAAAATAGTTCGTTGTTCATACATCGACAAGATTGTAGCATTCAAAGTTTTAGCTGCTGTGTTGTTGCATTTGAGAACTTCGGACATATCTGCAATTTGCCGGTTCAAGGCCCAAAGTTATAAAGCTCTCGTGAAGATCTATAGTAGCCATATTGTTTGACATGACGTACACAACTCATTACTCGACAATACAGTGATACGCTCCTCATGTGAGCGGCTCTATAATTTGGACTCAATGTCGTCTTGTGACATCGAGCCGGTTCCCGGGAACGATTCATCGCCAGAAAATTTCCTGTATTTTGGGTCAGTCTATAACTAATTCGGTATTTGTCGCGAGCATTGAAGGTATAGCCAACTAACCAGCCTCGCTCCTCTCCGGAGGTCAAGAAACCACAATCGCTATCGAGTTCGCACTGCCACTCCCCTACTTGGCTGAGGTCGCTTATGGGTGGGTGAGATTCGTCTGTGTCTATGTGTTTGTCAATATCCCGCCGCCAATGTTTGTCGCTTGACATCCACTACCGAACAAACTTACTAGGGCCCAACATCGGGGTTCTCTTCGCGCCTGGGGCTCGCCGACGGTACGTGCTCAGCCCACACGTAAAGGCGTGGAAATCTTCTTCCTCGACAGCATTGGGGATACGCCCTGTAAGGATACGGCCCAGGGTTATCACAACCGCAGCATGGGTGCATAGTACCACAGCACGGTGTCCTTCTGCATCACAGCGCTCGATGATGGCTCGTACAGCTGCTGCAACTCGCCCATATAGGTCTTTGATCGTTTCGCCTTTTCTATAAGGCGTTATTGCAGACACATAATTCTCATCGAATGCAGGAAATAGCTCCTTGAGTCGCTTGCAAGAGGCGGGGATTGGATGGTCGAAAGGTGCCGCCCCAAAGAACTCACCTATGCCATGTTCCGGGCGTATTGTGGCCGTCGCAGAGCCTTGAATACCTGGTTGGTCTTTGAGTTGCTGTTTTTTGAGTTCAACGAAGGGTGTTATTGTTTGCAGACATCGATAGTAAGGACTTGAGTATACGGCGTCGATGGGAGGATCCAAGGTCATGAGATGCTTGCCCATCTCCTTTGATTGTGAGACTCCATGAGACGTCAAGGCTGGGTCCGCGGGGATGCCTGTTGGCGATCGTATGAATCCAGTGTACACGCCAGTGAGAGGGTCGACACTCCATCCAGAACGGAACTATACTCGGGGCCAATTTATCAACACCAGGACAAAGAAATATATGGCCGGGACAGTCAAGGCTGGTCGGAACTTACTCCGTGACGAGTGACGTATATGACCTCAAGTGGCATTTTACTCGTTTATATCCTTCTTATATGATTTGATGTAGTGGGTTGCGTTAGGCGTCATCAGTCCTCCTTACGAAGTTGTGGGAGCTCAAACTGGGGATGATGACCTCGGGACCTCGGCGCTCGGTAGGCCACGGCCCCATATGCCCCGTTCAGCCATCAAAGACCGGCCGGCCGAGAGGTCGGAGCCGTTGACAGCACGGAGCAATCAGTTCTCAATGAGATGAAAGCCTGTGATGGTTGGAACGGGAAAATTTATAATAAGCCGTCCAAAAGTCCGCATGTCGGAGAGTTTGAGTCCGTTTCTTCAGCGATTTAGAGAGGGGCGATCAGTTTAGCGTCAGACTAATATGCTACCACCGTTTCATTTCGTCCAGCCCAATCCCGAAGCAAGCCATTGATCATTGCTAGCTTCCAATGACGCATATATGTAGTATGATACCTATGTTGAAGAATTCCCGATTTTCTTGCCGGTTGAACCTATTATAGTCTCTTCCTAGGAGAATGCTACGATTGGTGGGCTGGCTCCGTCAAACTGTTGAAGAACTATTGATCAAGGAAACGCTAGACAAGGGTCGATGGTGAGTGACCTTGACGACAGTGTTTGTGAATTGTAGCAAATGAGTACTTGCCCTGGTCATTTTGGATATCAACACACCTATAGGTCTGTAGGAGGATAGTTAGCAGTACACAATTACCATACCTTGCACATTTGATTGTTAGAAACCGCCTTGAAGAAATATTTGATTCAAGAAAATCTATATGGTAACTCAGTTGGCAACAACAAGATCGTACTATTGTGGGTCAGTGGCTCACGTCAGCCATAAGCCTTTTCAGTGGCTTACATGAGTCCTCGCGATGCCTTCACTTCGCTCGATGTGATCAACTCTTTCAATAGTATCTTGCGATCAACAGCTTTGTGTGATATACTATCCAATCAGATAAAATGGGACAAGAACGTCCTGGCGCCTCTCAGCGCTCAACAAATACCAGTCAATCTACGCAAAAGGCGCCTTCAGCCATAAAGAAGAAGGTCATCCGTCGGGATCCTGAGAAGAGGCGCACGCAGAACCGCTTAGCTCAGCAGACATACAGTGAGTTAAGTCAGCGTGGGAGCCAACATGTCTTTATATAAGCCGCTTTGGTACTTTGCAGCTGGTGGCTGACATGATCCATTTCAGGGGAAAAGCAGCGGAAGCGCATACAGGAGCTAGAGCGCCGTGCTGCCGAGCAGGGAGCTGCATTACAGGAACACAATGACAGCTCTCTAATCCATGTGGGAAATCCTACAGGAGGACTTAGTTCAGTGCCTGCCAGTGGAACTCTCCTAGACGCTGAGACTATCAATCCTTCTCACCTCCATCCTGATCCTGGAAACTCGATATCGCAGTCAACGACGGATGTAGGGACATGTGGTGCCAACCTCATCTTTGAAGACTTTGACCAATGGATTTCTGAAAACCCTATATACGATGAGTACACAGCGCCGGTGCTGTTCTTCAACTGTGGTTGTCCTACACTTCACATCCCCAACCATTCCAGAGAAGTCCTCCTCCCCGTTATCCCAGATCCGTACAAAAACAATCTCCAGATCGACATCATATGCATTATCAGCGCTATGCTGGAGAACTGTCTCTCACTTGGAATAACAAGATCAATGTACTGTTCTGACGATGCCATTTCACCCTTCTACAGGGCTCACGCGGACTCGGATCCTAATCCTGAAGCCATTGTCACATCTGTCCAGCGTGGATCCCGCACACTGCATTTCGATCTCCGTCCTACACGAAAGCAGATTGTTGTTGAGCACCATCCGTTTATCGATGTGATTCCCTTCAAGGACATCAGGGACAACATCATCGAGAAAATGAACGACATGGATGAGGACGAGTTCTTCCATGATTCACTCAATCACTTGACTTGTTGGGGAGGCATCTCAGGCGCACATACTGGAACCCCCTGGGATTCGAGAAGTTGGGAGGCAACGGAAGAGTTCATACTCAAGTGGTCGGACATTGTAGGAGGTGATGAAGGCGAGTTGGCGAGGAATTCACGGTGGTGGAGATCACTTCGTGGTGAACGGACCGTGACTGAAATATTCTAACCTCGATGTGAAATTGAAAAAAGTGTACCAAGGCTTCTGCAGATATTGGTTTGGATTTACGTTCAATGTACTTGACTGTCTATACAGATATGCACAACGTCGTTTAATATGCTCGATGAGCTGAAATGCACATCACCATCATGGCATGAGAACCGCCATGAGAAAGAAAATGCCGTGATCTACCAAAACGCCTTCAACAACAAGAAGGCAAGCAGCCTCCGCCAAATAAACATCTACCCATTTAGCCAAACCCCAAGACGCCCCAAGAAAAAGAAGAAAAAGACGTCCCAACATATTCGTATACCATTCTGCTGTATATTGGCGTGCATTCGCTTAATGTATCGTGTGTATCGTATTCAGGGTCTACATGACAGCGCATGAGCCCAGGGTGCGTGCCCTCCGACGGCCGGTAGGACCAAACCCACCATCCTCTTCGTCTAAATGGAGGGCCTGGGCTTCTCTGGCTCGACGCCTGCGTCTTCGGTAGCCTGCACCTGTCATGCCCGCTTCTTCTGTGGCTTGCATGTAGTCTGCCCATTTCCTCTCTAGGCGACCAGCGGACGCAAGATCACCACGCAGAACTCGCTTCTGATGCTCATCCACGGTCATCTGGAAGCCATAGAAGCACTTGAGCCCGATCATCTCGGTTGGGTAGCTCACTCGACCAGGTTGGCCTGATACAGCCTTGACTTGTGTGTTGCGGAAGAGCACCTCACGGACACCTGTCCAGGTCACGTTCTGACAATCGTAGACAACCATTTGGAGGGTCATTTTCGGTCGTGTTCCAGTCTCGGTAGACCGTTGAGAGCGCTTCATGACCATTGCTGCTGCCTCGGCGAGGACGAGGTCACTAACTCGAGTGTTGTCAAGGTCGACGTTCTGAAGGTTCGTGCATGTTTGCATGACCGGAATCATCCCAGTGTCGCCCAAATTTTCGCAGTAGCTAAGAGAGAGATGTTCTATCGAAGATGCACAAGGAGCCTTGGCGAGATGCTCTGACAGGATCGAGTTTGTGAGGTTTTCGAGGTCCTCAAGTTCGAGATGTGTCAAGCGAGGGGTAGAAGCGAGAATGGACTCGAGAGCCTCGTCATTCAGCAACTTACATCCTGAGAGTTGTAGACCCTCAAGATCGGGCACAAGATGGCCGACCGCCTTCACACCTGCATCTGTGAGTCGGACACAGCGGCTCAGGTCGAGATGACGAAGCTTGCGGGCTGGCACGATAGGTCGTTCAGAGAGAATATCAATTTCAGGCTCAACACCATGCATCATAATATGGAGGGCTTCGTCGTTAAGTTCGGCGCATCCGCTCAGAACCAATCTCTCCAAATTGTTCGTCTTGAAAATAGCCTCGGCAGTCGCAACATTGTCGAATCCTCCAACTTCACCAGCCCGAAGATCCCTTAATCTCGGGCAAGCCTCGACGACTGCCTTGACACCTCGAGCGTCTACCCTGCCGCACCAGGAAATATTGAAGGTCTCGAGCTGAGGGCAGAACTCGGCAATGATCTTGCAGGATGTGTTTGAGACCGCAGTCAGCCCAGTGAGATTGAGGCTAACAAGCTTCTCGTTGTTCCTCAGCAAGCTATGTAGCGTGCTCTTTTGGAAATTTTGGCAACCTTCCAGAGTTGCGTTCATGAGATTCTTGCATGCCTTCACAATAACCTCGGTGCGCTTGTAGTGCTCGACCTGCAGGCATCCTCGCAGGTTGAGATCCTTGATGAAAGGACCAGCCGCGACAATAATTCTGGCGAGTGATTCGGCTGGAATCTCGCGGTAGAATTCCGAAGCGTCAAGGGAAGTCCATAGCTGACCATCAAAGCAGGCCTTGTAAAAGGCCTTGGATACTCGAGATGCCTGCACGAGTTCCCTTGGCTGGAAGAAAGAAAAGATATGAATCTGAAGCTCATTGGGCATCTTATCCCAGAAACGGAATGGCTGCTTCTGAATAGGTTTTACACCAGGTCGGGTTCGAATCTGTACATCCTGCTTAGATCGAAACTCGGATGGAAGAGGGGCGGTCCCAGTAGTGGTAATTGGAGTCGCATTTTCGACTTTACGAATGGCCAAATAACCCTCGGGAGTGTCGAATGGAAACTCCCCTGAAGATTGGGGGGTCGAGCTCAAAGCGCTGGGCAGACCAAGAGGCGAGGGCTGTGGGGTCGATGAAAGGGCGCTGTAGGGGGTCTGAGGTGGTCCAGTGGCCGCAAGACTAACACACGAGAGAGTGCTTCGAGTGCTATAAGGGCTTCCACGGGTGCCAACGGATCTAGAGCGACGCAGACCACTCAATGAAGGCGTTGAAGATATTCGCTGAATCCGCTGGATCAGACGGTGTCGGTTCTTGCCCTTGACCGGCATGTCCGGCGCTGGCGGAGTGGATACGCTCTCTGGGCCCGGGCTCGGAGCGCCAGACGATGTTATCTCGTGGACCTCCATGACAAGAAGTTCCAATTGTGTTGGAGGCGTGGTTGTATGTTCTTTTCTGTAGAGGGCATGAGACGTCGAGTCTCACAGCTGCCGTATGATAGAGACAGACGGGACAACGCCTGCTGCTAACAATTGAAGATAATTGTCTGATTCAAGTCGGTCCTGTCTATCGGTCGATAGTGGGGGCGGCTTGGAGCCTTGCTCGCTGGTTGCTAACAGCAAATGCAGGGTCCTTTATTTCATCGCCGGCGAAGGATGAATATCGATGTGATGCGAGAGAAAAGCTGATGGACGAAAGGAAGAATAATGAAATAAAAAAGAAGCAAGTGTCAAAAAGAAAAAAAAAATGTCGCGAAGAAGGGTGAAAGAAGAATAAAGAATAAGCAGGGTCTAGTGTTATGCTGGGAAACCGAGGGGATCAGCAGACGAACGGGGGACTCGGAGAGGGTGGTGGGGGGTGGTCAGCGGG